TTTTTTCTTTTTTTAGTACCGGGGATCCAACTCAGGATGTGCTTATGAGGCAGGCAGTGGAACCACTGAGCTAAATTCCTGGCCCGTTATTACTATCTTTATTAGTGGCAGTAATGTTTATTCTATTATTAATTCTGGCCAGTGCTGTGACCATGACATTAGTTGATGAGAGGGATACAGGAGCTTCTATGTCTTCAGATAAATTTATGTTTATAAGTATTGTTACTAAATATATTATAATTGAAAAATTAAAAAATAGAAAAGGGATAAAAAAAGGGGCATTTTTCAAATGTCAGTACAAGTTGTTAGGTATCTATCCTGCCCTGTGAATACTCCAGAGGTCCTTGGAACTTGGGCTGTAGGTTTCTGAGGCTTCCCTTATATGTTCCTCTTCCCAGCCTCTGCTTCCTAGATTGGCGGGTGCCTTTAAAATCTGTATGTATTTGGGGAAGGGAAAAAATCAGTATGTATTTAAAAGGAAGGAGTCAGTAAGATACATTAACTAATAGCAGCAAGTGTTTCCTGAAGACATGTTTTGGTTTTACTTAATTCTAGTAGTCATGCCAGGTGGGACTAGTTCTGAATTCCCCTTAAAATAGACAGAGAAAGTCAAGTTCAGTGAAGTGATCACACTTGCCCAGAGTCACATGGCCAGTAAGTAGTGAAGAAGAAGTGTTAGCCATATCTCTGCCTATTCTTTTTCATCATCCAGGGGGTCTTAGCTTTGTCCGCTTTGAACCAGCTGCTTTGCTTCTTTGTAAGGACCTCATCATAAGCACGTCACTCAGAACTCACTTTTGAGGTGTTTGAACCATCACCTTGGCTTACAAGTACAAGCCCTATTGCCCCAGAGTGAGGACAGTGTTGGCCTTGGCCCTTGAACATTGTCTCTTTTCTCAAGTATTGGTGGTATTTGTTTCTCTCCTTTGCTTTGTCACCCTCATCTCGATCCTCTACACTGTTCAGTCACAAAGGTGATAAAGTTTTTCAAGGGAACAGTCTTGACTGTAACAGTCCTATTTCAGGGTCTCCTTTATGCAGCCAGTTTAGGACCTTGTTGTTTGGAAGCTGCCTTCTAAATGAGGGTGGAAACTTGGTTTTATCTCTCTGGCTGTCAGACACTGGGCTAGGAGGAAGAGATCACCCATGCATGGAGAAGCCAGGGAGTGATGTGTCTAGAAGAGGGCAACATTAGGCAGTCTATACAAGACATTGGAGCTGACTGCAGTGGTGCTTGTCTGTAATCCCAGACAGGAGATTACAAATTAATCCCAGCCTAAACAGTTACTGACTTTGGGAGACACTATCTCAGAAAGTAGAACAGTGGCTAGGAATGGCTCAGTGTGAACTCAGATGCTTGATTCAATCCCCAGTACCCCCCCAAAAAAATTGATGCTGGCATGATGGTGGAATCCTCTAATCCCAGCTACTCAGGAGACTAAGGCAGGAGACTTCCATGTTTAAGGCCAGCCTGAACAACAAGGTGAGATCCTATCTCAAAAAGGGCTGAGGATATTGCTCTGTGGTAGAGTATTTGCCTGGCATGTGCAAGGCCTTGGGTTCAGTCCCCAGTACCACAATAATGATAATGATAAATTAAGTTTTAAAAGGGCTGGGTATAACACTGTAGCTCAGTGTCATAGCACTTGCTGACATGTATGAGGCCCTGAGTTTGATCCCCAGTACTGAGGGAGTGTGAAAAGGAAAGAAAGACATTGAACTATAACTTTAGCAGTACATAGTTTTAATTGGAACAACATAGAGAAGATGAGCATGGGCTCCATGCGAGACGACACCCAAATTCTTGAAGCGTTCTATATTCTTTGTAAATTTTTGTCACTTATTTTTTTAAAAAAGAATTTCAGTAGGAAGAAAAAGGTTGGCCAGGCGTGGGCGCGCATGCCTGTAATCCCAGCACTCGGGAGGCTGAGGCAGGAGGATCACTGTGAGTTCAAGACCAGCCTGGGCTACATAGTGAGTTCCATGTCAGTCTCAATTACATAGTAAGACCCTGTCTCAAAAGGAAAAAAAAAAAAAGAAAAAGGTTGTTACAGGCTGAAACTTTGAATCTCAGTCTGAGTATGGAAACTTGAATAAATGTAGTGTAGAGAACCCCTAGAAGATGGGGGTATCATGAACTGACTCTTTATCTGCAGGACTGGGAGGTGAAGGTGATAGTGGACTGTGAGTTCTTAGACTTGGGTCTGTTAATGCTATTTGCCACTGTAATCTGGTCGGGACATGACATCCTAGTATGATTTAGGCAGATAAAGCCATTTCTCTGTACAGGACAGATTGGGGGGAGGGGGATAAGAGGCAGAATTAAACAATTAAACAGCGGCAAGCCTTTATTGTGTGGCTGCAGGCCCAGCCACTTTCCATTCTTCATTAGCTCATTGACTCTCAGAGCAACACTGAATTGAGCGCTATACTTAACCTCTCAGATTTTGCAGGTAAAAGTGTTTAGCCAGGTGTGGTGGCACATTCCCATAATCCTAGCATTCTGGGAAGCTGAGACAGGAGGAGTACAAGTTTGAGCCCATCCTGGGCAACTTAATCATTGTCTCCAAATTTAGAAAGGGCTGGAGGTATAGCTCAGTGTAAAGGTCTTGGGTTCAATTCCCAGTGCTGCCATACTTAAAAAAAAAAAAAATCAGTGTTCTGTGGAATTCACGGTGACTTACCTGAGATCTGGCTAGTAAGTTAAAGAGTCTAGACCATCTGATTCCAGAGCCCAAGCTTTTAATGATTTTATTGTTGCCTTCTCCAATCAGGAAGGAGGCTGCTTTGTTGGGGGAAAGGGAGTAGAAAGCATGATGATAAAAAAAGGGAGGGGTCAAAGGCAGCAAAAGAACAGGCTTGGGGGCAGCCGGAGAAGCTTGGATTCTAGATTGGCAAGTTTGGCTCATTGGAAATTACTGCTTTTTTTGTTTGTTTGTTTTGGTTTTGGTTTTTTTGTTTTGTTTTGTTGGTTTTTTGAGACAGGGTTTCATTTCACTATGTAGTTGAGACTGACCTGGAACTCACTATGTAGCCCAGGCTGGTTTTGAACTCACAGTGATCCTCCTGCCCCAGCCTCCCAAGTGCTGGGATTATAGGCGTGTACCACCACGCCCCAGCTACTGCAAATTTTTGAGAATGGAAGTGATAGAACCAAGAAATAATGCTCTTGAAGACGAATATATTTGTACTGGCTGCGTAAGTACCAGGTTGAGAAATCATGAACAGACAAAGAAGAGGTAGTGGGAGCTGAGGGAACAAAACAGGGCAACCCTCTTAGGTTTGTAGTAATTCCCACTGAGACTCTACTGACATCCCTTCTTATCCCCCAATAGCCATCGTCAGCCAGTGGCAACAGGAGTCCAAAGAGAAGGTGGTGTCCCTCTTGCTATCCCATCTGCCTCTGCTTCAGCCAGGCAACACAGAGGCCAAGTCTGAGTACATGAGGCTACTACAGAAAGTACTGGCCTATTCAATTGAGAGCAATGCCTTCATCGAGGAAAGCCGCCAGCTGCTCTCCTATGCTCTCATCCACCCAGCCACCACACTGGAGGACCGCAACGCATTGGCACTCTGGCTGAGCCACCTTGAAGAACGATTGGCTGGTGGCTTCCGTACCCGGTCAGAGCCCTCCTACCACTCACGCCAGGGTTCTGATGAGTGGGGGGGCCCTGCAGAGCTGTGCCCTGGAGAGGCAGGGCCAGGCTGGCAGGACAAACCACCCCGGGAAAATGGACATGTGCCCTTTCACTCATCCAGCTCAGTGCCGCCAGCCATCAACAGTATTGGGAGCAACGCAAACACAGGTAAGAGTATCCCAGGAGGCCATGCCTACTTGAAAATGGTCAGTATGGGCTGTCTTCACTCACTCTGTGGCCTTGGGCATGTTCCATAACTTCACTGGGGCCTCAGCTTTATGAGGCAGTGCAGAGGTTGTGAATTAGCATTCTGAGAGCCAAGTCTGACCTACAAACATGTCTTATTGAACCCACACTTTGGCTTCATTTTGTTGTGTTTTAAAATAAGTTTGGTGGTGAGTGTGGTGGCACATGGCTGTGATCTCAGCTATTTGGGAGGCTGAGGTGGAAGGATCACAAGTTCAAGGCCAAGCTAAGCAACGTAGCAAGATCCTATCAAAAGGAAGAAGAAGAAGAAAATAACTTACAAATTTAGTGCTACAAGGATTTTCCCTTAAAATCAGATTGCCAGCTTTTTGTGAAAAGCCCACAATGTTCTGGTTGCTCAAGGCATGTATTCCTAGCAGCAGCAATAAGAGGGAACTGAGTATCAGCCACCCCTCTAAATTCTGCACATGTGCCCCAACCTGCCCCTGATCCACCCAGCTCTTTGAGAATTTGATACCTGCCTAGCATCTGAGGGCCTTGCATTTGTGACCCCTGGTAGAGGGAGGACACCACCATCTGAAGTTCCTTCAAGCTCACTTGGGTCTTTGTATCTGACCTTACTTTACAGCCTTGAGGAATCTGTTTGTAAATTAATCTATATAAGATAAAACTGGTGCTGCAAGACATTAATAGTAATAGGTAACATTTTTTGAGCATTAACTATGCTAGATACACTTACAAGCATATTTGAGTTATGATCTCATTTAGTCTTTATCACAGTCATTAGTCCCATTTGACAGATAAGGACATGAAAGTGAAGTCTTATATTTAAGGTCACACTTAGAACAAATGATAGAATTTTCCAAGGTTCAGACCCAAGTAGTCTGATACCAGAGCTTGCCTCTGACCACTGTGCTGACCTACCAACAAAGTGGGCTTGAAAGGGCCCCAGAGGTTAGGTGAGCAGATGAATATGGTATCACAGTGCCTTTATGAAATGTTAGTTGAAATGAGCGCACATAAAAGAGGTGGCATGATCTAAGTCAAGTTGAGTTACAATTTAACTTCAGGGGTGGTCAACCCCCTTTGACAGGCGCTGATAAAACAGAACAGGACAGTGGCAGTGAAATGTCATGTGTTGAGGGAATAGCTGGGACCCAGCTCTCTGATACCTGGTGTGCATCTGTTACACCTAAGCCTGTTTCTTCCCCGTTAATATGGATATCCTGTCAGCTTGCTGGTAAGAACCTGGGAAAATAGAGTGGTAAGAGGGTATTTCCAGGGAACACCCACAACCAAGGTGTCTTAGACCCACCCCCTTTTTTAGTTTGGGTCCATCACAGTTTCTGGGCCTGGATTGGGAGAATATATTAATTTTGTTGTTTTGGGTTTGTTTTTTGTTTTTTTATACTGGGGATCAAACTCAGGATCTTGCACTTGCAAGGCAGGCGAGGTACCACTGAGCTAAATCCCCAGCCCCCTGGGAGAATATATTAATGATAATCCTACCTAAAAATTATTGAAGACTTAGTGTTGGCTAGGAGCTACTCTGTACTTGTAAACTCAGAACCTTGACTGAATCTTAGAAAAGTCACCTGTTCAAGATCTTAGTCAGATTTTTTTTCTTTTTGAGACAGGGTCTCACTATGTTGAGACTGACCTGGAACTCACTATGTAGCACAGGCTGGTCTCAAAGTGATCCTCCTACCTCAGTCTTCCCGAGTGCTGGGATTACAGGCATGCGCCACCTCGACCGTCAGTCTTAGTCAGAATTTAAATCCAGGTACTCTGGCTCCAGAGCTGTACTCTGAACTACTGTGCTTTACTTCCTCCACTTAAAAGCGCCCCTCCTAGGTATGCTCAGACCTCAAAGGGAGGGGTCACCCTGGCAAGATGAGTCCCTCATACCTTCTGGGCTTCCAGGCTGGGGGACCTCAACAGGTTTTTGTTGTTGTTATTGTTGTTTCTTTTGACTGTGCTCCGGATCAAACCCCAGGCCTTGCCTGTGCTACCACTGAGCTACACCCCCAAGACCTGCAACAACTTTAAAGAATTAGCCTTGAATAATGTTGGATAGAGGCTTTGGACCAAAACAGAAAGTAATTGGTCATTCCACACTGCGGGTCCAGCACAAATTGAGGCCATGAAGCTGGCAAATTGGAGGAGATAGTGTGTAAGTCTGGCTGAGACTGATTTACATGAATGATAGCAGTAGCAGATACTTAATGCTTACCACATGCCTATCATTATTCTAAGGGCTTTATGTTGAAATGGAGGCAGAAGGGTGAATGAAGTAATTGGCCAAGAGCACTCATTTCAGAGGTGGCAGAGTGAAAATTTGAACTCAGGTTTTAGGGCCATGGGCAAGGAATTGGGGGCTTGAAGGATAGGATGAAGCTTTTAGATTTCAGGCAGTTATAGGAAACAGGAAGCCATTAAAATATTTTTCAAGTGGGAAGCAAGGATTGGCCTGGAAAAGCGGGTTGGGTGGGTTTGAGGTGCTGCCAACGACAGACCAGGGTTTCTTGGAGAGTGCAAGGCGCTAGATCTCCGGCTGGCATTCCTGTTTTTGTAATTCTCAGGCTGTGGCCAGCCTCCACTCCAATGCAGGGCCAAGCAGGGCTCCTCAGGAACTACACGGTCATTCCAGTCAGGGTAATTTCCTGCCTTCCCAGCCTTGCCTACCCACTTCTTGGCTAAGCAGGGAGAAAGGAGGAGTCCAGAAGCACCAGGACAGGCACAAAGACCTGTATTGAGAGTTTCCAGCACCACCCCCACCCCCAGAACCCAGTTGTGCCATCTTCTAGGGTTCCCAACTAGAACAGAAGCCAGGGCTGGAGGAGTCCAGAGATTTGGAGGAACCCTGAGTACCACACTCCAGAGGTCCCTAGTCAGAGGCTGAGGCTGGCCTTATGGTGGGCCAATGTACCGCCTCTGTCAGATGACTTCTTGGCTAGGACCATCATCATTACACATGGTGACAGAAGGTGCCGTGGACTTGTACCAGACTTGCCTTCCTCCTTGGGCTGGGTGTCAATGGAGTACTGGCAATAACCCCAGCCTTTCCATCAGAAACAAGGACTAGGCTCTCAGTCTCTGCCTCCCACCTCCCTGTGGGAACTAGGGCAGAGGACTTCAGCTTCCTGGGCCTTGGTGTCCTATCTTACCCAGGCGTTCTTGGCTTTGTCTCCTTTTCTTCTAGGCCTTTTAGAACCTTCAGTGATAACAAATAGCCTGCTGCAGCCCACATACCATAGGTTTGCTACCATTGCTTTAGGCTGACTTGGGGTTCTACTGCATTCCCTCTATTGAGCTCATAAGCCCCTTTAGTACCTTGTCCTTTATGAAACTTGGTTGGAGCCAAACGTGGTAGTGCACACCTGTAACCCCAGCACTCAGGAGGCTGAGGAAGGAGGATCGTAGTGAGTTCAAGGCCAGCCTGAACTACATAGTGAGACCCTATCCCCCCCCACAAAAAGAAAGAAAGAAATTTGGGTGGAAAGTTTCTGTGTGTCGTACTCTGCACCTAATCCTGGAGATGTAGAAATTATTGGGCTGGATTGCCATCCTCCACAAGCCTACACTTCAGTTGAAGAGGCTGAAGTTTAGTGAAGACAGCAAGTGTCATGCTTGAGGCAGCTGCAAAGGAAACATTTGAGTGAGGTATGAAAGCAGAAACAGCTCGTGGAGAAGGATGGGAGAGCAAAGACTGAGCAGAGAGCAAAGACGTGTAATGGCCTGGGCACTCATGGGAACCGGCCCTGTCTTGGAGTGGATAAAAATCAAGTTGGAGAGGTTAGGGTATAGCTTAGTGGTAGAGCACTTCTTTAGCTTGCACAAATGCCCTGAGTTCATTCTCTGTCCAGGGGGAGGAGGGGATTGGCTCCTGCTTACATCAGAAGTAGGCATGGTAGAGCTGGTCAGGATGATCACCGAGGTACATCTCACCATATTTACCAACATGCTGGGCGTGTCACTCTATAACTATGTGGCCATCAACAGTCCCAAGAAACAGTAATAAAAGTGACGCTCTCTCCCACCCCAGGGCCCCAGGACATAGTCTGAGGCCAGATGAAGGGTATGAGGGGCCTTCATACTTTATTTACTTCATCCCTTCTGCCTATCACAACATACAAAGCAACTACACTTGGATTTTTCTAAACGAGTTTTATTTCCTCAAGGTCTTCTTAACCTTGTAGAACAAGAAGCTGCCATCAAATAGGGTCCAATATGGAGACTGCTTTCTTTTCTACTCCCCCAATCATTACAAATATATATATATGTATGTATGTATGTATGTATGTTTGTTATCCCTGCCCCCCAAATAAAGAAATGGGATGGACAGCAGGTATTGGTGGCACATGCCTGTAATCCCAGCATGTGGGAGGCTGAGGTTGGATTCTGAGTTTGAGGTTAATCTGGACTACATAGTGAAACTGTCAAAAAAAAAGGTGTGTGGGGGAGATAAGTAGCCCAGTTTGGGTTCTGTAAAGAAAAAATGGAGATGTGGGCCCAGTAACAAGGATGTTAAGTAGTTCACGAAGTTCTTCTGTAAGTACTAATTAAGCAACTCGCCTGGCCAGGCCCACTGTATTTGCTGAAGAAAAAGTGTTTGTTTAGGACTGGTCCCTGCTGTCACAGATCTCATGTTCTAGCAGAAGGGTACAATTAATTAAGCAAGTAAACAAATGTCTATATAGGATAATTTCAGGATAAGTGCTGTAAGAAAAATAACAAAACTATTGGGACAGAGTTGAAAAGGCAGCAGTTTAAGATTGAAGATTCACTGTAGGCCTGAGAGGAGTGACACTTGAGATGAGACTTGAGGGAGCCAACTGCTAAGAGCTAGGACAAAGGTGAGCATGGTGGTGCCTATAAGCGTTGTATTTTGGGAGGCTGAGTCAGGAGGACTGCAAGTTCAAACTCAACTTGGCCAATTTAGTGACTTAGTGAAATAAGACCCTGTCTCAGAAATATAAATTAAAAAGGGGATAGAGATGTAGCTTAGCGAACGCCGAGTCCAGTCCTCAGTACAAGGACGGAAGGAAGGAAGGAAGGGAAAAAGGAAAGAGGAAGGAAGAAGTCCAAAAAGCATAAGCACAGGGCTAGGATAGAGCTCCTACCATGCACAAGGCCCTGGACATTTCCAGTACAAAACAAAAAGTAGTATATGTGGGAGCTTTTCGGATAAGCTTGTGAGTTCCAGGGAGATAAAGGATTTCGGGAAGGGTGACAGCTAAAAACCATGAACCAAAGCCTGGTTATAGGAGATGAGAGCTTAGACATCAGCAGGGGTCAGGGCTTCCATGGCCTGTTAGGTATGTGGAGGAGTTTGGAGTTTGTTTGGTGAAGGAAGCCTGTGGGGATGTAGACAAGGGACAGAGTAGGTTGGATTCACATTTGCAGAAGTGTCGTTGTGGTTGTTCTGAAGGAAAGGGTCTATAGGAAGCAAGAATGAAGGTTACAGCAGTTATTCCAGCCAGGGGTGTGGGGCTTGGACCAGGGCACTAGCATAGGAAACAAGGAGGTTCAGAAAAGTGGCTGACAGCTTGCTTGAGGGAGTTGGGTGTTGGGTGAAACAATGAGCAGTCTAGTATGCAGGCCTGCCCAATTTACGGCCTACCATTACTCCTCCCCCTTTTTGAGTGAGGAATTATCTAGGGTTATATATAAAACATAATATAGTTGATATATACAAGTAATAGAACTTGTTTTTAAAACTGGGGTGGGGGGTTGAGACAGTGTCTCAATGTGTAGTTGGAGCTGGCCTTGAACTCACTATATAGCCCAGGCTGGCCTTGAACTTGCACTGATTCTCCTATCTCAGCCTCCTGAGTGCTGGAATTACAAGTGTGTGCTACTGCACCCAGTTTAAAATGTTTTCGTTTTTATTTGGTACCGGGGATCAAACTCGGGTCCTTGTGCTTGCAAGGCAGGTAGCAGAACCACTGAGCTAAATCCCTGGCCCAAAAATGTTTTTTATTATAACATTTTTTTAAAAAAAACAGGCTTGCAGGACCAGGGATTTAGCTTAGTGGCACCATGCCTGCCTCAGCAAGCACAACGTCCTGAGTTCAGTCCCCAGTACCAAAAAAAAAAAAAAGGCATGGTGATGCACATCTATAATCTCAGCAGTCTGGGAGCCCAACCTGGGCCTGTCTCAAAATTAGAAATTAAAGAGCTGGGAATGTAGCTGTGATAGAGTGCTTGCCCAGCATTCATGAGGCCATGGGTTCAATCCTTCATACCACTAAACGAAAATTAGAAATTTTTTAAGAAAGACTGGTGACATAGGTCAGTGCAAAAGCCATGGGTTCAATCCCCAGTACCTGTCATCCCCCCCGCCACAAAAGAAGAGATTATAAAAAAAGATGGGCCACGGGTTGAACATGCCGATGGTAGGAAGTATTTCTTGGATCCCAGGGTCCCTTCCCCTTGGCATTGTCTGCATTGTATGGTCTCTTGTGGTTGGATCCCCAAGCCTGATCTCTTCCTTCTCCCTCTTTGGCCAGGTCTCCCCTGCCAAATCCACCCCAGCCCACTAAAGCGCTCCATGTCACTCATCCCAACAAGCCCACAGGCTCCTGGTGAGTGGCCGAGTTCTGAGGAGCTCGGTGCCCGGGCTCCTTTCACCACACCGGACCACGCACCCCTCTCACCCCAGAGCAGCGTGGCCTCCTCTGGCAGTGAGCAGACAGAGGAGCAGGGCTCCAGCCGGAACACTTTCCAGGAGGACGGCAGTGGTATGAAAGGTATGAGGGGAGGGCAGCACCGGGACCCTTCTCCAGGGTTTCTGTATAGCTTAGACAACAGAAAATTGGTTGTAGCTGCCACTTGCCTACCACTGTGAGGAGGGGGAAGGGTCTGAATGGAGTAGATGGTCGTCACTGCCCTGTGGGTTCAAAACAGAGCATAGAGACCCCCACACCCACTCACAGGCTCTGGCCTAATAGGGGAAGAGCTTATGTCGCACCCCAGTATAACAAGGAAATCAGGACACAAGTAATTGATCGATAGGATTTAGAGCAATCAATAAGATTGGATGTGGTGGTGCACACCTGTAATCCCAGCATTTAGGAGGCTGAGGCAGGAGAATTGCCACAAGTGCAAGGCCACCCTGAGCTACGTAGTGACTTGGGGGAGGCCACCTGAAATGGCTGTGCAGAACAGATGAAGTAGCTTATGGCCCCACTCCCAGGCTGCCTGTGGTTTATGCCTGTTCTCTCCCCACTATCCTTCCTCTGCTCTGTTCCCAGGGTTGAACTCCTGACCTTTCACCCTCCCTCCTTTTCCACAGATGTGCCCTCATGGCTCAAGAGCCTCCGCTTGCATAAGTATGCTGCCCTCTTCTCACAGATGAGCTATGAGGAGATGATGACACTGACTGAGCAGCACCTGGAATCCCAGGTGATGCCAACAGGGCCATCAAGGAGGTTTGGGGGCAGCACCATTCGGCATCCCTGGAGCCCAACCCTCCTTTGTGTCTTTAGTCCCTGTTGGGGCACCTCCAAGTACCTCACCCATTTCCAGCTTCCTGTCTCCTGTCCTTCTCACAGAACGTCACCAAAGGGGCCCGCCACAAGATAGCCCTGAGCATCCAGAAGCTGCGTGAGAGGCAGAGCGTGCTGAAGTCCCTGGAAAAGGTGAGGACTTGGTGTCCCATCTCGAGGGCCAAGTGGTTGCTGAGTATACTATTAAACTAAGGGCTCTGGGTCAGCCTTGCTGTCAGCTGCCTGGGTCATCTTCTCCCTGGGCCTCCCTACTTCTCACATCTAACTTCCAGTGGCCTCAGCCGTGGGGAGCCAGACTCCAGGAATCATGTGCAAGTCAGCATCAAAGAGCTCACTTGCTGGTGGCTAAGAGGCTTCCCTCTATGCCCGTCCTGATCTGTGATCCCAGAATTTGTCTTTTATTGCCACCTCTTCTCTCCCTTTCTGCTTTTCTGTTTGTGTGTCTCTGTGTGATCTCTTTCCAATGTGCTTATTTCGTATGTGTTCACTATCCTCTGTTTGCTTCTATTTGCATTCCTTTCCCTCCTCCCTTATTGTTGCCTTTGGGTGTTTCCTTCCTCCTCAGAGTCTTGGAATGAATCTTTGATTCTTCCTGGGTGTGACCCTGAGGCCTCAGTGTTAGATTACCTTCTCCTAAGTTCCATGAACCTCCATCTTCAAGGGGAACAGGAAATGTGTGTGCCTCTCTGTGTGTGAGCTGGCAGTGTCCTTACCTGTCTTCTCTAAGTGCCAGAAACCAGGGTGCCAGCCTCTCCTCTGAGCCATGTCGGACTCCACTTGTGTAGGCATTTTCTGTGCCTCTGTGGGGATTGCATGTGATCCCAACCATGTCTTCCCAACACAGGACGTTCTGGAAGGTGGGAATCTGCGGAATGCTCTGCAGGAGCTGCAGCAGATCATCATCACCCCCATCAAGGCCTACAGTGTCCTTCAGGCTACTGTGGCTGCTGCTGCCGCCACCTCTACTGCCAAAGATGGGGGTCGAGGAGAGCCTCTGCTACCAGGTGCTGAGCCTCCCCTAGCTCACCCTGGCACAGACAAGGGCACTGAGGCCAAGGACCCTCCAACTGCAGAGAGCTACCCCCCTCCACCAACTCCAGCTCCCACTGATGGCAGTGAGCCAGCCCCAGCTCCTGTTGCTGACGGAGACATCCCTAGCCAGTTTACAAGAGTGATGGGCAAAGGTAAGAGCAGTCAGGCCCTACCCCAAAATCCTGAGGCAGATAGCTGGGGATCAAGTCCAAGTTACTTGGTGGGAGCAGGGCTTTTAAAAGCCTCCTGGAGACTGGAGCACTGCAGAGAGGAGCTGAGACTGAGATGACGCCCTTTCCCTCCAGCCATCTCTAGCCTGAGGAGGAGATGGGACAATATGTCAGAAAGGTCTGCTTTCAGTAGAGAGGGCATGATACGAAGAAGCCAGAGGTTCTGAGGAAACACAGATCTAGGGGATGGGAATAGTGAAGCTTGTGGTGGTTTAGCCTTTGCAGAAGGAGCAGGGCATAGAAGACTTTGCAGTTGGATACTTACCTTTTTGGCCATATGACCTGGGACAAGTGACCTGGCTGTTGTGGGCCTTAGGTTCCTCAGGCTACAAATACCCACATTGACAAGGTTATTGCTGTTGCAAGAATTAAAATGTTTTGTTGACTGCATATCTGCTGTGTCAGGCACTGTGGTAGGTGCTTTATACATTTGGCTCATGTTAACTCAGTGCTGTGCCTACCACTTAGTTGAGCCTGAGGGGCCTGAAGGATGCCGGGGCTAAACTGCTCTTCCCTGTATCCCCCAGTGTGTACCCAGCTTCTGGTGTCCCGACCAGATGAGGAGAACATCACCAGTTACCTCCAGCTCATCGAAAAGTGCCTGACTCATGAGGTAAGATCTCCAGAAAGAGTGCCCCGTCCCTCTCATGACCAGCATTCCAGTAGGATCCGCCTAGCACCCACCTGCCTCTCCAGCCCTTCTTCTCATCAGCATTGGCTTCAAAGGCTTCTTCTCAGAGGCTTTGTACACATCCTGTCAGGACCAGTCCCCTACCTCCCATTTGCCCCATCTCAGTTCTGATATTGGTACAAGGGACTCAGAGACAACCTCACCAGACACATCATGCCTCCAGCTCTTTACCCTCATTGGGGGGACCTTACACAGTTATGATTGTGTGTGTGTCTCTCCCACCTAAGATATATACTCCATGAACACAGCCACCTCTGTGCCCAGCATTGCCTGGTATAGGGCAGGTGAGCACAAACACTTAAGCAGTCAATGGAAGGCAGCACCCTCCCTCCCCAATCCTAGGCTTTCACTGAGACACAGAAGAAGAGGCTGCTATCCTGGAAACAGCAAGTGCTGAAGCTCCTCCGGACGTTCCCACGCAAAGCTGCTCTGGATATGCAGAGCTACCGGCAGCAGAAAGGGTGAGTGAGTGCCTCCTAGGCTCTTGTGGTTGGCAGGTCAGTGCTTAGAGAGGTGGTTGTGTTCTGGGCTAGGTTGAGACTCCAAGGAACATCAGAGTATTACCAGTAGAAAAGAATGCAAGGGCTAGGAGGTGTAGCTCAGTAGTAGAGCACCTGCCTAGCATGGATGAGACCGTGGGTTCCAGTGCAGCACTGCAGAGTAATAAATAGGATGCTGAGCTGGCAAAAGATAGCACATGTCTAGAGCAAGCCCCTTCCCTGTACCCTTCTCCTCACCTGTATGCAGAGGGGTCTAAAGTCCTTTCTTGTAACAAACGAGTGAAATCTGTCTCTTGAACAGTGAAGTTCAGAGAACTGTTCAGTGGACAGTGAAGAAACCTTTTAATATTCCCATCTCCATCCTAGGGAATACCCTTGGATCAGGAGGAGACAGGAGTATGTGACACAGGGTTGTGGTTAGGGAATCTTTACTGAGAGCAGGTTCCTGATCCTGCCATACTCACAGGGGTTATGGGGAAGGTGAGGGAAAAGGGGCACAGATGGCCCCCATCCGTTTAAGCTAACACCCTGCCTTTTGCTCTCTCACAGCTGGGCATTCGGCTCCAACTCACTCCCCATAGCTGGCTCTGTGGGGATGGGGGTGGCCCGGCGGACCCAGCGACAGTTCCCAATGCCTCCCCGGGCCCTCCCACCTGGCAGGATGGGCCTCCTGAGCCCCACAGGCATTGGGGGCGTCTCCCCTCGACATGCCCTTACCAGCCCCAGCCTTGGGGGCCAGGGCCGACAGGTGAGCTGACCGGAAGTAGAGGCCCTGGGGCTTCTATGGGCAGGAGCAGTGCCTGAGGTGTACATGTACATGTATCTACACCTAGGCCTCGCTGAGAGGGAAGGGCACTCTTTTGCCAGCTCCCTCACTCCTGGGCCCAGGCCTGTTTTCTACTCACCCCTCCACCTCTTGCTGTGTCCTGTGCAGAACCTGTGGTTTGCCAACCCCGGCGGCAGCAACAGCATGCCCAGCCAGAGTCGCAGCTCTGTGCAGCGCACCCACTCACTTCCGGTCCACTCGTCACCCCAGGCCATTCTCATGTTCCCTCCAGGTGAGGTACCCTGCCTTGGGACTCTGCCTTGCCAAACTCCTCAACTGGCCTTTCTCTTTTTTGGGACTCATAATCACTGACCCTTCTGGACTGCCAAAGCAACTTTCCCCATACTTCCCAGTACTCTGCACTCATCCACCCCAGGGAGAGGGTGTTTTTCCCTTTTGTTTCAGTTTCCTCTCTCAGGTCCTACTTTCACTCTCTCAATACCACCTTCTCTCACTTCTTACCCTCACTTCATCTCCACATCTTTCCCTCCCTGTGCAGTGGTCTTAGAACCCTTGTTGATCTCTGTCACTCTCTATGCATCATTAAGTACTCAGTTTGGGAGGGGTGGAGGGAATGAGAGGTGTCCATGGAGGGACATCTTTCCCATCAGCCACCTGCATTCTTTCAGAAGCCAGTGATCTCCACGTCTTAGACAAGACTCTGGTCCCCAGGGTATTGAAAATGGGAGGGCTCTTTGCCTTCTGCTCACAGACCAGCCTGGGAATGGGAAGTCAGGAGAACAGGTGGCAAGAGGAGGTGGCATCAGCCACAGATCCCTGCCTTGCTGGACAAGAGGGGACCCACTCCTCTCGTGGGCACCGGGCTGGTCATTGATGGGATGCCCTCGAGAGAGCTTAGGTGTCAGGTGACCCTAAGCTCTTGATGTTATAAACTGCCACATCAGCCGAGAGCCTTAATTTATGGGATGATATGGACCAACTCCTGTGCAACCTAGGGGACCCCAGCTGTCCTGTTCATCCTAGCATAGGCCATGGCTTCTGTAAATGATGCTGAAGGAGCAGAGGCATAAACTGTAGGAGCAAAACATAACCATTCTCCTTTCTATTGTGCTGCTGTGTGAGCAGCTCTGTCAGGCACTGCAATTCAAATCTTCCTAACTATACATAAGAGGACCCTGATACTAGTCCAGTCTTAATATTATTAGAGATAAATGATGTGTTCAAGTTCAAAAGACATTTTTAGAGTCGGGTGTGTCAGACTGCCTTACTCCCCACCCCTGTAATGCAGCACTTGGAAAGCTGAGTCAGGAGGATTGCTAAAAATTTGAGGCCAGCCTGGGCTACTTAGTGAGTTCAAGACCAGCCTGAACTATAGTGAGATCCAGTCTCCAAAAAACCAAAAAAAAAAAGATGTCTTTAGGAGAGACCAGGGACCTGAGCTCAGGGTCTGGTTGGACGGTGATGAGACCTGAGACTGGAGATGGGAGGCTGGGAGGGGAGGATGGTGAGGCTGGGGCTCCTGAATCAAGGGCCAAGTTCAGGCCTCCTTCCATTTGGGTGAGGAGCTGAGGAAAAGTTTAAAGTAGTATGTGGTGGATCCAGATCTGCCCAGGGGTCTGGGTTGCTTCCCAGGTGCTGAAATAGGTACATTTAAGTAGTGGTTGAGGACAAGCCCCATGGCTGTTGTCCTACTTTTACACACCTGTTCTGCCTTTGTGAACAAGTCCAAGTGGGGATAGGAATAGTTTTAATTCAGCTCTTATACCAAGTACAGAGAGCCAGGTCATCACTCAGGGGTTGTGGGCCGGATGCCCAGACTGCCCAATGCAATTTACAGTCGGTGTCTGAAATAGTCATAGCCTGCCTGTGGCCTCCAGGAACGCTGCCTTCATTCACATCACTTCCTCTGTTTACAAGTCCAGCTTTTTTTGTTTTGGTGGTGGTGGTTTTTTGTTTGTTTATTTTATTGCATTACCCAGCCTCTGTCCTTGCTGCTGTCTTCCCTGCCTGCTTTGTGACACCTGCAGGCCTGTTACCCTCTTTGCTGTCTGCCTGTTGTGTCCTCCTTCCAGGCCTGTGCATGCCTCACAAGCTCTCGTTTCTATCTCTTGGCCCCTGCCCTCGTAACAGGAGCCCTTATCACCCAGCTCTCCTCTTCATCCAGTCCAGTTGGTACTCACCTCACCACCTCCATTCTCCTTTCTCCCACCCAGACTGCCCGGTCCCTGGGCCTGACCTGGAGATCAATCCCACCCTGGAGTCTCTGTGTCTGAGCATGACAGAACACGCCTTAGGTGGTGAGCATTTCCTCTTTCCTTGACCCAGCTCCCACCTACCCAGCATTTCCACCTCTGAACTGAGCAACTCAGAGTCCTCCTAAGGGTCCCCAGGGGAGGCCAGACTCCAGGGAGGGCCCACCTGGGATGACAGGCCACATGAGTGCCTTTCCTTGGGCCTGCCACCAGCTCCTGATCTTCCTCCCTTCCTCCCTTTCTTATCACAGATGGGACAGACAAAACCTCCACCATCTGACAGGACCCACAGCCCAGCGCACCCATAGGCTCCCTGGGCGGCGGGCGGGGGCCAGCCCCCAATGGGCTTCTCTGCAGCAGTGAGAGGGTGGGCTGGCTCAGCTATACATTCTAATATTTTTCTATTCTCTCACCCTTTTAACTTTTGTTTAACATTGGTACACACCTTGCTCACTCCCAGGCCCATTGAGGGATCTCTGCTGAGGCCAGGGCACAGGGGGCAGCCAGGACAAGGGCAAAGACTGGCCCAGCTGCCTTTCTCCCCATCCCGCCACCTGGCCTTGTCCCATCCCTGCCTCCTCCAGACTGCTGACTGCTACTCCCCAAGGGAGCAGACTCCCCAGAGACAAGCTGACTGTTGCCCTGTGAAGCCTGCTCGGGAACCTTTGACAGTGGGGGAGGAATGAGCAGGGTAGGCAGCTGGCTCGCCCAGGATGTTACTGGAGAGGAGCTGGGAGAAAAGGAGAATGAGGAGAGGGATGGTTCTCTCTCTGCTCCCCTCTGTCCTTCCCCATTCCCGTCATTCCCAAGGACAGGAGCCACTTTCTTACCCTGTTTATCAGAGGTTCTCTACAATTAATTTCTTAGGCCTATTTAAGATACATATTTATATAGTTCTTAATGGTTTTTCTCTCTGATCATTCCCTGTCATTTTTAGAATCTCTAGGCCCCTCTCTGAGCCAAGACAGTGGCTGAGGGAGCCTGGACTTTATGTGGGGAGAGGGCAGAGCCCCCTCCTCCAGACCCCCTTCCTCTTCCCCATTTCCCATCCCTGGCTCCCAGGCGCAGAGGTTGGTGGTGGGCAGCCAGCGCAGCGGTGAGGTCAGGAAGTCTGTTGCCTTAACATCCCCTTTCCCCACCAACACATCCTTCTCCACTCCCAGGTCTGGTTGCTGAAAGACTTGGGGTTAGGAATATGGGAAAGGGGATTGTTTGGTTTTGATTTTATCCCTGCCCCCTTTTTCTTTCAGCCTTTCCCACCCCCCATTAAGTCATGACCTCATGTAAGTGGAACACTATGTCATAACCCGGAGGTGCATCCTAGCCCCAGTCACACAGACCCTCTGGTCCCTGTTCCTAACAAGGGTTTGTGCTGGGGTCCAGGTGGAGGGGGAGGGGGTTGGGGGGTTCAGACTGGGGAGGCCAGGGTCCCCCTAT